AATGGGGGTCAGCTGAAAGACATGGAGACTGAGGAGCTGGTGGAGATCCTGAAGATGCATCCGGAGATGGTCTTTGCTCGTACCTCTCCTCAGCAAAAACTCATCATTGTTGAAAGCTGTCAGAAATTGGTAAAACTGGAGGGAGAGCTGCGTGTGTTGTTTATTTTATCAGTTCCTTCGTTCTCATACTTTTTTAGTCAATTGATTTTTCCAAAAAATATTAGAATGCATGACCCACAGTTTTATCCTTATGACACTTTACCAGAGTAAAATGCCAGCAGAATCACTAAAATTTTAGATTTTCAAAAATGCTTTGAAAAATTAAATGATAATGAGGATGGATGGATGGATAGTTACCAAAATGTCTCAGTAAGAACCAAGCATCCTTAATGGGCATGGATTGATAACTGAATGTTAGTGAAGAAAAATGAAGGAGGAAATGGCGCATCTTGAAAGGAAGGAATGGGTGAGTGGGTGAATAGATTACAAGTACCCTTTGGCATTCTATAGAGCAGTGGTTCCCAATCTGTGGTCCGTGCACCACCAGTGGTCCACAAGAACGAAAATATAGTATGTGGCCTCGCCATTACTACAGTGTTGCCTCGAAACCATGCGGCAATGAAAATAACTGGTCTTGCAAAACCTTCTTATAGTGCCAAGACAACGGGGATGTCAGAAAGGAAGAGGCTGGCTATCCATGGAAGATTACTACCACATCAGCTCTAGATTATTAAATATAGTTTTATGTGGGCAAACAGATGGCGACTACTGGATGGCATATGTTCTGTATCAGAAACTAGAGCTGATGTGGTCTATCCGATGCAATTTTCTGAATCAGCACCCCAAATGACCAAACTGAAGTTGACCAAAAACTGATTTGTAACCCTTTTGGTACTAATGTTGGAGAGTGGTCCCCGGTCAAGTAGTCACTGGTCAAGGTGGTCCTTGTTCAAAGTGGTCTCTGGTCAAAAAAAGGTTGGGAACCACTGCTATAGAGGTATTCCTTAGATAAGAAAGATATGTTCCCAGTTATTATTTCTTGGGACCAGAAGCAGCAATAACAAGGCAAGGGAAAGGAAGGGTTCCTACATCACCAAAAGAAGAGCGGTTTAATAAGCTTCAGTAAAGTTTTTTTATCAAAGTAACAATATGGATGTATGACATGGAACAATCAGCTCATGTCTTGCATAAGTAACAAAAACCTTTTTATCCATCTAGAGGCCATTTGAAAGTTTCCTCTAAATGCCCCTAGGGACGTTTTTTTTTTTTCTTCATCAGCTTCCACCTTTCTTCTGATTTTCATGTTGGTGGCCAGATTTCTAGATCTGTGCTGGGAAAGGGAGTTAACGTGCTGCAGTAATTCCCAATCTGTGGTCCGTGGACCACCAGTGGTCCACAAAAACTAACATATGGTCTGCGGCCTCACCGTTACTACACCGTTGCAACAAGAGCGACTGGTCTCACAAAACCTTCTTATAGTGCCAAGGCTTATTAAATATGGTTTTCTGTGGGTGAGCAGTTGGTTACTACTGGAGGGCATATGGTCTGTATCAGAAACTAGAGCTCATGTGGTCTATCCAATGCAATTTTCTGAATCAGCACCCCAAATAACCAAACTGAATCTAAAGTTGACCAAAAACTGATTTGTAACCCTTTTGGTACTAATGTTGGAGAGTGGTCCCTGGTCAAAAAAAGGTTGGGAACCACTTACGTACTGGGAGGAGTTGAGGACGCAGGCTTATCTATTCATGAAAGCTCAGTAAGGGATTCTGGAGGGAGCTGCTATTGACCATGCATGTATTTTCTTTTACATTTCACTTTGTATATCCTAAAATCCTTCTTCTTCTTTGCAGGGTGCAATTGTGGCTGTAACAGGAGATGGGGTCAATGATTCCCCAGCATTGAAGAAAGCCGATATCGGTGTGGCAATGGGCATTGCTGGCTCTGACGCAGCCAAGAATGCAGCTGACATGATCTTGCTGGATGACAATTTTGCCTCTATCGTCACTGGTGTTGAGCAGGGTGTGTTCTTATAATATAATATAATATAATATAATATAATATAAAGGGGCAAGGAAGCTATGGGAAGTATTTTGTGTGTTCTGCTGACACAAAATGCATAAATGAAAAACATTGTGTAGTCTGAAAACTGATGATACAATTGAATAAATGAGAGGGGAAAAACACGTGATGTTCTGACAGTCAATTTAAATGAGGCAGCAGGATGATTATGTTTATCATTATCATTGATTGATTGATTGATTGATTGATTGATTGATACAGTGCCATCAAGTATACTTGGCACTTTACAATAACACAAGCAAAAATAATGGGTCCTATTAGAAGCATACAATCTAAAATATGTATGTGTACACATACAAAAACAGAGGGAAGGAGGAATAATAGAACTATACAAGACAATTGCAAAATACATCCTCTAGATAAAATGTTAATTAAAAATACAAAAAGCACAGTGACAGTCATGTAATTATAATATACAAGATGACAACGGAAATTGTTCTTGCATTCAAATAAGTGTCACTGAATTGGGATCTACACTGGTGCCTGAGCCATTGGTTGTTGCTGTGAGATGTTAAGAAACCAGGGCAGATCAATAAATGAATTCTTGCTGCATAATAAACAACAGCTATGAATGCTGTAAAGATTCTGAAATTGATATAAAACAGAAGCAAAGAATTGTGTTTGTCTATTACTCTATTTTTTTCATGTCAGGAGTGACTTGAGAAAGTGCAAGTCGCTTCTGATGTGAGAGAATTGGCCATCTGCAAGGCTGTTGCCCAGGGGATGCCCGGATGTTTTGATGTTTTACCATCCTTGTGGGAGTCTTTTCTCATGTCCCTGCATGGGGAACTGGAGCTGACAGAGGGAACTCATCCGTGCTCTCCCTGAATTCGAACCTCTGACCTGTCATTCTTCAGTCCTGCTGGCCACTGGGAGCTCCTATTACTCTGTTATCATGGTTTATCTTGGTAACCTGACATGTTCTGATTTTTTCTATTTCTTTCTTTCTTCTTAGGACGTCTCATATTTGACAATCTCAAGAAATCCATTGCCTACACCTTGACCAAGAACATCCCAGAACTGACACCATACCTGATCTACATCACTGTCAGTGTGCCCCTTCCTCTTGGTTGCATCACCATCCTCTTTATTGAACTCTGCACAGACATTGTGAGTAAAAGTTTCATAGCTCAGAACTTCAAAGAAGCAAGAAAGGAGAATAGGTCTTCTGACCCTTTCAGTTGAACCCAAATATCGTTTTTAAACTGAATGTTTCAGAGTGTTCCTCTCTCTTGGATCATCTCAAGTGTATTTACTATTTATTCAAACTATTTATGCTGCTTTTCAGCCATGTTGGCTCTCAGAGTAGCTCAAAAATTATTACTATGACAGTTCCATGTTCTCAAGCTTAAAACCCAAAGGTGGGACAGAGAAGGAAAAATAAGTGGTAGTAGGAAAAGGTATTTCTGCTGATGCTTCCCTCTCCTTGAAGCCAGAGCAGTGGCATTTGGGATGGGGGGGGGGGGGGGGCTTCATAAGCTCCCCTTCCCAGGTCAAAGGAAATGACCTTGTTAGAAGTCAACCTTTTGAAAAAGTGATGTTCACAAGCATTCATGTAATGGCACACAGGTAACTCAGCTGTTAAACTGATAAACCATGTCTTTGAACTGCCAGGGACAAAGACATGCCACGGCACAAAAAAACATATACTTAGCTAGCAGAGTTTTGAAAATGTTTCTTTGAAGTTGCAGTTGTGCAAAACATATACTCTCCCTTGAAACCTCTTAGTTTAAAAATATGCACCCAGAGACAAAAAAGGTTTAAAAAGCGACATATCTTGTTTACTCATAAACATCTTATATTAATTCAGGATACAGGCACATTTATAAACAGGATGTAGTTTCTCTGTATTGAGAATACAGGGCATCATCGTTAATCAATAGTACATAGTCCAAAGTCTTTTAGTATACATGTTATAAAAGTCCAAACTGTATAACTGTAATCACTGCTTCTCAAAGCAAATGTATAGTAAACTGTTCCTGCATCAATCCAAAATGATGTCTGCTTCCATTGAAGTCCAAAAGGATACTGATAACAAAATGGAGTCTTGAGTCTGAACAGGCTCAGTACAATCACATGTCTGTAGCCCCTCCCACACCAAAGAGATCAGTCAAACTGGCAAATCTAGATAGATAGATAGATAGATAGATAGATAGATAGATAGATAGACAGACAGACAGACAGACAGACAGACAGACAATACAGGTTAGCAAATACATATATTAACAAACAAATAGTGAAGGCTTGAAAGGTTGCTATTTCCAACAAATTATGCAGAAAGCAAAGGAACGAGGAGCTTTTTGCTTCCAAACATGGGGAGCCTCCACAATCAAATCAATGGGCAGAAAATTAAACACAAATAAGTGTTCAACAATGCATAATTCATATATTAAATGTGTGGCCAAAATAGTTGGGTGCATTGGTTAAATATAATTGAAGAAAGAGGTGGAAGCATAATTAGCTGAAATAAACAATTGGCTGGCAGAGAATTTGTCTAGTCTCTTAAAATCTATATAAATAAAAATGTAAAGTTCGTTTGTGGGATTAACATAACTCAAAAACCATTGGACGAAATGACATGGAATTTGGACACAAGACACCTATCAGGCCAATGAGTGACCATCACATAAAAACATGGCAGAAGAGACTTAAAAAGTCAAAAAATAAAAATACCGTACATTACAATGCATGCACATAACCACATAAATATACATATCCAAATACACACAAAACACATATACACAGACTAGGCCACAGCAGTGCGTGGCAGGGGATGGCTCGTTTTGTAATAAAAATAACGAAAGATAGATCTGATTTCTTTTTTTTTAAGTTACAGGACATTCAGGATCAGAACGGCTGTGAACATTTCCTCACATATAGATTCACTCACACCAGTCCATATACTGAAGCCTGTTACATGCCATGTATCAGCTGTGAATTGACTAGGGCTGTTCATTGAGGTAGCAATGAATGGCACGAAATGTTGATTGGTTTCTTTAATGGTTTCACCCCTGATTGTGGATTAATCTATGGAACTTCTATCCAAAGGTTTAGGGATCATTTGTGCTTTGCAGTAGTCTCTGCGGGAACTGAAACCAGGATAACAAGGTTCTGCTGAGACGTCTGCATTATTTCTGATTTCTCCACTCCTGTTTCATTCCTCAGTTCCCTTCTGTGTCTTTGGCCTACGAGAAAGCAGAGAGTGACATAATGCACCTGAAGCCACGCAACCCGCGACGGGACCGCCTGGTCAATGAAGCCCTGGCTGTGTATTCCTACTTCCAGATTGGTATGTATAATTAAGAGTTGAAGGTAGAAGCTGGTACTTAGAGAAAAGAGAGGGAGGATACATTTGCTGGGATTTGTTCCTATTGCTGTAAGGAAACAGCAATGTAGGCTTAGTTTGGTTCTTCCTTTGGCATCAAGGAAATCATGGTGGTGTTTGAGGACCAGCAGCCCTCCAGATTTGGTTGGGCTATAACACCCATCCTCCCACATTAGTGCACACCATTGGTGTGATGTTATAGAGGTCATAGTACAACTATCTCTGAAACTACCCTTTAATGCTTGTTTCTCTTCTGTCATCTCCCGTTCCTTAAGGCAGTGGTGCCATTAGGGTAAGACTTTTGAGTTCCTTTCAACAGAATGAGCAGCACAATAAAAGTCCCGAAATGCTGCAGCCTGCCAACTTTTGAATATGTGAAGTATAGCTTTAAAGACCCCACTTCATTTGGGATTGGCTAAACTCTGATCCAAATCCACCTATGTTTTGCCACCAACCAGGAGCCATCCAGTCATTTGCAGGCTTCACGGACTACTTCACGGCCATGGCCCAAGAGGGATGGTACCCACTGAAGTGTGTGGGCCTTCGCGCTGACTGGGAGAATGACCATCTCCAAGATGTCGAAGACAGCTATGGGCAACAGTGGGTGAGTAGAGAGGCCACTTCTGACCTCCAGACATGTGGTTCCCAAAAAGGAAACAGAAGATACCGCTTCTCCACTCCAAAAAGTAGTGCTGTCCCTAGATATGGCTCTTATGGGGAGAAGTAGAGAAACTGAGAAAGGATCGCTCAATGCATTGGCTGTTCTTCCCCCTTGCAGACATTTGGGCAGCGCTTGTACCAGGAGTATACGTGCTACACCGTCTTCTTCATTAGTATTGAGATGTGCCAGATTGCTGATGTCCTCATCCGTAAAACACGACGTCTTTCTGTCTTCCAGCAAGGATTCTTCCGGTAGGTGGGAGCACCAAAAACCTCTGTCAAACCCTACCTGCTTCAAATGCCTGACCACCCAGATTTTACAAATTCATAAAATTACTGTATATACTCAAGTATAAGCTTAGTGTTTCAACCCTTGTTTTAGGCTGAAAAAGTCCCCCTCGGCTTATACTCGAGTCAAGGTTATTTATTATTTTACTCTGTTATTATTATTATTATTATTATTATTATTATTACATTTATTATTTTGCTCTATTTATTATTATTATTTTACTTTATTATTATTACATTTATTATTTTATTTTATAATTGTAAAATTAAATGGCTCGGCTTATATTCGAGTCAGCTTATACTTGAGTATATACGGTAACTGACTTTTTTCCTTTTTTGAAGTGAACTCTCTAGATAATAATATTATAATGTAATACAATATAATACTACTAATAATGCTACAATATAGTAATTGTATATTATCTATTACATTTAATATTACTGATAATATTGCAGTATAGTGGTATAGCGGACTATAGTAATATATAATACTAATATTGTGCTATGCTAATAATATATTATATGTACCTATAGTATTGATCATAATATTATGTAATACAATATAATACTAATGATAATACAATATAACAATATAATAATTATATATTATATATTACAGGTAATATTACTAATAATATTGCATTATAGTGATATAGTACAATATAGTAATATATAATACTAATATTGTGCTATGCTAATAATATAATATATGTATATATAACATTGATCGTAATATTTTAATGTAATACAATATAATACAAATAATAATACAATATAATAATATAATAATTATATATTATATTTTGCATGTAATATTACTAATAATATTGCATTATAGTGATATAGTACAATATAGTAATATATAATACTAATATTGTGCTATACTAATGATATAATATATTGTATATATTTGTAAACCGCTCTGAGTCCCCTTTGTGGTGAGAGAGAGCAGGGTATAAAAATAGTAAATAAATAAATAAAATAGATCTAAAGCACACCTGACATGCTGACTATAGGACTCTGGGACTTTTAGCTCATAAAATAACTTTCCATAACATTAAGCTTTTCCATAACATAATCTCTTAAGAAGTCATAGGAAGGAGGGAACAAGCTTCCCTTCTGCTGCCCTGGAGACTAGGACACAGAGCAATGGCTTCAAACTACAGGAAAGGAAATTCCACCTGAACATTAGGAAGAACTTCCTAACTGTGAAAGCTGTTCAGCAGTGGAACTCTCTGCCCTAGAGTGTAGTGGAGGCTCCTTCTTTAGAGGCTTTTAAGCAGAGGCTGGATGGCCATCTTGTTGCGCAGCAAGCAGATCTTAGCCACGTCTCATGCACAAGACTCACAGACAAGAGTACAAATGAACAAAAATTCTTTACTGTTAATAGCAGAGATTAAATACAAACTTGCAATGTTGCATACAAAAAAAAACAGTGCAAGAAACTTACATAGTCTTTGTAAGTAACACAAAATAAGACATCTTCATCTTAATTCAAGTGAGAAAGCAAAATATAAACCTTGAACAAACAGCTATTCCACCATAGCCTCCTTTAGAGCAGCATAATGGCTTCTCTCCAACCTGTTCCTCAGAGCAGAGCCTTTGAGCATAAATCTCCTCAGAGAAAAAGCTCTCGAGAACTGTATTCTAAAAAACCCATACAATTATACCCTATTGGGTGTGGTCCCAGATTGCTGGTTGACCTACATTACCAGCTGTACATAATAATTACCACCACAAGGTTTTTCAATACACACACACTTAGTCCTGCTACAACTTACTGTCAGAGGTGTTTTGAATGCAATTTTCCTGCTTCTTGGCAGAATGGGGTTGGATTGGATGGCCCATGAGGTCTCTTCCAACTCTGTGGTTCTATTCTATGATTCTATGACCTGTCCAAATGTATCTCTCTCTATGAACCACCTTGGAGATTTAAGATCATCTGGGGAGGCCCTGTTCTCGGTCCCACCTTATTCGCAGGCACGACTGGTGAGAACGAGAGACAGGGCCTTCTCAGTGGTGGCCACTCAGCTGTGGAATTCCCCCCCCCAGTGACATTAGATCTGCCCCCTCCCTCCTGGCCTTCAGAAGGAAAGTGAAAACATGGCTATGGAATCAGGCCTTTGGTCAGTAAAGGGAGCACTGCAATAAGAGACTATGAATTAACATTGACGACTCCGACTGGCCCTGGATGATGACTTGGATTATGTGATTTTAAATTGTTGTTTAATGTGATGTTTTAAATTGGATGGTTTCTAATGTTTTAAAGTGTTGTTTATTTATCGATGATATCTGCACATGTGGCATCAAATTGTGGCCTTTGTAAGCCCTCCCTGAATCCCCTTCGGGGTTGAGAAGGGCAAGATATAAGTGTGATAAATAAATAATAAATAAATTCCTTTCCTTTTTTCAGAAACAAAATCCTGGTGATTGCTATTGTGTTCCAAATTTGCCTGGGCTGCTTCCTCTGCTACTGCCCTGGTATGCCCAATATCTTCAACTTCATGCCCATACGGTAAGAATTGAATTTCCATTGAGATTGCACTTAGAAAAGACCCAGTGGTACCTCCAAATCATTAATCTAGGATGGCTGCTTCATCGGAAAAACCCAATTACTTCCTCTAGCATTGGTTCTCTGTAGGTCAGTCTGAGAAAATGGCAATGGCCCAAGTTTGTTGAATAAGTTTCAGATCTTAATCAAGACTTGGATTTGGATGTTCTGCATTCTAGTCAAATGTTCTAACCACACCACACTAGCTCTCATCTTTCTCTACCCTTGTTTCACGACATATCTTAGGAGCCACAATGGCTCAATGGGTTAACTCTTCTGCTGACTGAACTGCTGACTTGAAAGTTGGTGGTTCGAGTCTGCAAGACAGGGTGAGCTCCTGTCTGTCAGCTCCAGCTTCTCATGCGGGAACATGAGAGAATAGCAATACATCCAGGTATCCCCTGAGCAACATCTCTGTAGACTGTCAATTCTTGCTTCTGACACGATAAAAAAACTGAATTATCTTTCTACTGCCTTATCCCTGTAATTGACCTTCATCCCTCCAACCCTCCTGTCCTCAGTAGTAAAAAAAAATCTCCCTTAAATGGATCTGCCTCTACACACTGTCTTATGTCTTCCTCCATCATTATCTTTAAATCCTTCAGAACATAGCACATTTTATACCAAATCTTTCAAAAAAAAACCAAACCCTTAGTTTGCAACTTAAACAGAAAATTCCTCTAATCACTAGATTTCCATTTCCCATCTCCTGTTCGGTTGTCATCCCCTGTGAAATCTTGTATTCCAAACTTATTGAGAAAGGGATTTTGTCTCATACACCTTGTGAGACATTACATAATTATAAAATTATTACTATAGTCTTAAGATGTTTACTTTTGCTATGTAATTATTATGTATAGTGATTGTGCTACAGCTTAGCCCTCCCTGTCCCTATCCAGTATCAACAATGTCTAAAGAGCTATATACTGCCCATATTTTTATCTAGTACGCCATCCAGTACAGCTTCATACACTGGTTTCTCTTCAGATCGTATAAATCTTTCGCTTTTTACTAAAGATTTCCGTGGAGCTTCAGAATTGTGTATCTTAGGCCTTACAAATATGCATTTTGTGGCCCTCTGGATGCTGTTGGATTGTAACTCCCATCATCCCTTACTTTTCATGTAAGGTACAGTCCAGCAACTTGTCTGATAGGCCTAATATTGCTCCAATATGTCATTCAGCACCATGGAGAGCAATCATAATAGCCTGGTGATCTAGAGACTAGAAGTGGTTCTCAACCTGTGGGTCCCCTGGAGTTCTGGCCTATAACTTCCAGAAATCCCAGTCAGTTTACCAGTTGTTAGGATTTCTGGGAGTTGAAGGCCAAAACATCTGGGGGCCAAGAGGTTGAGAACCACTGGACTAGAAGAAAGCGTTGGGCTGCCCATCTCAAGCATCCTAGACTACAATTTAAGATGAAAGCCTGGTTCTTGCATTAATGATACTCAAATATTCTCCATCTAACACAAAACAGTCATAATTGAACAATCACCCAGATTTTTATAGCAATGTGCATCAAACTAATTTTCTTCCATTACCTGGACCTTTCTAGATTCCAGTGGTGGCTAGTCCCCATGCCCTTCGGCATTCTCATCTTTGTCTATGATGAAATTAGAAAACTGGGAGTCCGAAGACATCCTGGAAGTAAGTTATTGGTGGAAATGGGAGGTGAAAAAACGAACAAAGGATTGGTCCCCCCATGTAGATATAACAACTGCTGCTTCAGTCCACCAGCACAACAGTGGCATCCAGCCTGGGCCCCTAAATGTTGTTGGGGGCCAGCTCTTATCCGGGGGCCATGATGGCAGTTAGAAGATGCAGAAGCAAAGGAAACCCAAATTAACTGATTAACTGAATAAGCAGGTCAATAATATAGGAAAATCCATCCTTCCAGCAAGTTCTCTGCCTTTGTCTTTTCTCAGCTTCAAACTGCCAAGCTAAGGTAAAAATGCACGTATTTTCTAAGACACTTGATAGATGTTAAAGATGGCAGAGGCCTATTCACTCAAGAGTTCTTCACCACTTTCTATGGCTCTGAATTCACCCCATTCATTCTGTCTTCTTCCAGGTTGGTGGGACAAAGAACTCTACTACTAAAATGTTATGGACAATGCATTCCTTCCTGGTGTCAACATTTCCCCAGGGCAAGAGGCAAGAAACAACAAGGAATCAAGGATGTGGCTCTGTCGTTGATTTTCGGCCGTGTCCAGCTTGCTTCATCTTTTACCTTTTTCAGAGATAGCTTTATTTAAAAAAACTGTTTTGAGATTTTAGTGTGCAAAGGAGGAGGGGAAATTAACAGGATTCTGTGTCTGCTAATGTAGCAGCCAAGTTGGTCCTGATCACAGAATTCTGCATTATGAGAATGTCTATGACTTATAAAAATAATTATTAATAACCAAGTTAGTTAACTCAAGACAAAGATTTAAAAATTCAGCAAAATGGATGGGAGAGTGGACAAGACTGAGCCTTACGTAACTGCATCCTTCCCTAGGAAGAGCAGAATTAAAAATAAAATTTCATGACACAAATGGTTGCTGTTTAGCCTCATTTATCACAGAATTGGAGAGTTGGTAAAGAGCACAAGGGCCATCCTTGCAGGAATACACAAAGCATTCCTTAAAAATAGTCAGCTTTTGTTTACATACACCTTTGAGTCACAATTAATTTCACAGATGCAGTAATATAATGAAGTCGACTGAATGAAAATGAATCCATAAACAAGTCACTAGTGTTCAGCTGCTGAATTGCTGATCAAAAGGTTGGTGGTTCAAATCCAGGGAGCAGGGTGAGCTCCCACTGTTAGCCCCAGCTTCTGCCAACCTAGCAGTTTGAAAACATGCAAATGTGAGTAGATCAATAGGTACCGCTTCTGCGGGAAGGTAATGGCGCTCCTTGCAATCATGCCGGCCACATGACCTTGGAGGTATCTATGGACAACGCCAGCTCTTTAGCTTAGAAATAGAGATGAGCACCACCCCCAAGAGTCAGGCACAACCAGACTTAAAGGGGAAACGTTTTCTTTTAAGGCATGTGTAATCCATAAAAAATGGTTCTAAACTGTGTTCAAAAGTAGGGTTGCTAGCGCTTCATTTCTAAATTTTGGGGGTAAAAATTTCAGAACTCTAATGAAACTTATTTATTTGTCGTGTCAGAGCAACCAGTCCATTATATTACATTTCTAACAGAACAAAGCAAACAAACAGAAAAATACAAAACTTGTGAGTTTGGTAGTTGGTTAAATGTCCTTTGACCAGTATCTGGCCACTTGGAGTGCTTCTGGTGTTGCTGCAAGAAGGTCCTCCATTGTGCATGTAGCAGGGCTCAGGTTGCATTGCAGCAGGTGGTCAGTGGTTTGCTCTTCTCCACACTCGCATGTCGAGGATTCCACTTTGTAGCCCCATTTCTTAAGGTTGGCTCTGAAACTTATGAATCTTCCTAAGTGCTTCGTTAATGGCCATCACGCATGTGCAATAGTGGAAACATCACTGTCAGTGGGGAAAATTGACGAGTTTTTCTCTCCCTCATTTACCACAGTTAACTCACCAGAACATTTGACTTATCCATGGAATTTTGGCAAAGTTTCAAAGTTTTCATAAATAACATTTTTTTAAAAAAAAGCTATTTCATCTACTTGAATTTTATATACAATGCACAAGATAATGAGAGCATCAATCCCTGGAAGTTTTATAAAGATTCACACAT